TTGAACTGCAGTCCCTGTGCTTTGCTAAGCTTGTTCTAAGTAGGTGCTTTAGACCACTGAGCCATCTCACCAGACCCTCCAGCTACTAACTTTAAAAGATTTTTGCTTATACTTACATATAATCTGATTTTTGAATAGATATTTTCTGCTTGTCAGAATTGTTACTTTTCATAGTAAGATACGTTTGTGAAAATTTCTTAATAAGTCATGAATTAGAGTGTCATTTTTATTGCTAATTGTTACTGGATGTCCTATACTCCTATACTCAAAAATAGCAGGTTTTAAGTTGGCCTCAGTTTTCCAGAAAGCTGTAAACAAATGAAGTGACCAGGACATGGGTAGATATGATCCCTGAAGCGTCAGTTCAGTGCCTGACTTACATATAGTAGATACTGGGTAAACATTCCTTGATGGATAAATGCATGCATCTGTGTTTTTAGATGTATTTGTATGATACAGTGAACAGCGTTTATGGCCTGATCACATTGTCCTGCTTCTTTCAGTTTTACTTTAATTGGAAGAAAATCAATGAACAGTCCACCTCCATTCTAGCTGGGGAGAATCTGTTTGACACTGACAGTGATAGGGATATTCTTTATCATGTCATCCAGTACAATAGCAACCAAGAACTAGTGGTTGCTGAGCACTTAAAAGGGCTAGCATTGTGAGGAATTGTATTTTTAATTTATTGGATTCTAATTAAAATTTAAGTGGCCACATATGGCCAGTGGCTATTAAAGGGATGACACAGAATCACGTAGATCACATGAAGGTCAAGTATTCTGTATGCCTTATTTTATCTTACAGTTCCATATTTGTCCTCTTTTAAAGTTTTTATCAGTAATTGTTCAATAGGAAAAAAATTGGTGTTTAATAAATATTATTTGATTTCCTATGACCACCACCTATTACATGTGCATAATAATGTAGGCTCCAAAATATTATCTGGGAAATGGTGTCAAAAGACTAGGACAGTCCCAATTCAAAATAAGTGTTGGCAGAATGACCTTGAGTTGGCAGTCCTTTTGTAGAATTAGCTGGTAGCATATAGGGCCAGAAATGCTGTTACCTCTTTGCCCTGTCACTAAGCTAATTGAAATGAGTGGATGAATCATTTAAACTCCATGAGCTCCTATTATATGTCTATAAAATAACTACTAAGATATTACTTTTTCCAGCTTAAATAAGAGGATCCAGCTGGAAGAAAAGTACTGTATACATTTCAAAGGTTATAGACTCATGGAAGCCATCTTTTGTAAAATATTCAGGGTATCATTGTTCTATTGCTATGAGGTTAGGAAGTTTCCAATGCTCATAAAGGTTTTTACTAAATGGGTCAAACCTCTCTACTGTGAATTTCTAGCTCTATAATGGTTGCAAAATGGTCTTTTAGAATACCTGATTTTTGTAACCATCTTTGAAATCCTAACTAAGGATGAAAATACTCCCCTTTTTTTTTAACTGCTGCAGAAATACTTTTTAGGAAAGAAAAATAAAAAGAATGAAGAATCATTTCTGAATTTTAAAATAATACACAGAAGTTTGGTTAGCTCAGAAATTCCTAGGATTATGCAGACCATTAAATCTAATTCTTATAAATGATACAGAGAAATTGATTTTCAAAGATTACTAAAAATCACTGGTTACATGAATTAAGGTTATTAGAATCAACACTGTCTTTTGAGACTGAATAGAAGTTTTGATATCTTGATTATTATGTAATGTAGCAAAAAGAGGTTCAAAATGGAAAGTATCTAGGGCAGTGTTGAGTGCTGCCCTGAGTAAGGCTCTACAGTCTTCTGGACTATGATGCTTAGCTTAGGGACAGAGGTTAGGAGGGGACAGTTAAGTTATTGGAGTGACCCTTCACAGTAGAAGTTATAAACGTTAGTGAAAGGAATCTCTTTCTTTTCTTCCCCTTTCCTGCTCTGGACTGTACAGGGTGATGTTGGGCTCGCAATGGGTAAACTATATGGAAACGACTTCAGCCAGACAACCATCTCTCGCTTTGAAGCCTTGAACCTCAGCTTTAAGAACATGTGCAAGTTAAAGCCACTTTTAGAGAAGTGGCTAAATGATGCAGGTAAGTCACGAAGATATTCCTTCACTGCCCATTGTAATTTTGCGAGGAAATTGTGTACGAACTAGGGTTTCTGTTTCATATTGAATTATTGATTCTTAAAGAATTTTGGGGAATTGCAACTACAGCTTAGTGGCTTATGCACTTGCCTGGTGAGCACCAGGTGCTGAATTCAATCCCCAGTACCACGGGAAAAAAAAGCGAAGAATTTTGAGTTGATGAGTGGGGAAGAGAATGAGAAAGAAAAAGAATTTATCATATACATATAGAAAATATATCATGTATAGATACAAATTTTCTATGGTGAATCATATCATTATGTATATCTAAAGTATACCAATAAAATAAAAAGTTAAAGAATTTTGAAGCTTAATGATCTTGGGATAATAAATTATGGCTACTTAAATCAGAAAGCTGATTCATTTTAAATATTCTAGTAATGACAGTGTAAATAGTCAGCAATAGTTTCCAACTTGGAAATATTAACTTGTATTTGAGCTAGAATTCAGGAACCTCACACAGTTAAGGAAGAAGATAAGAAAGTCTGTATTTAGATAAATTTGAAGAATAGATTTGTTATTTGCTCCTTGGTGAATTAATGGAACTTGTTCTTGATAATATTTCTGCTTTTATTGTTAAAAATGGTTCATACAAAAGCTTAGACATCTAGTCTAAATTTTATGTCAAGATGTACTTGTGGGAAGTTTGAATTTTGAACTTCACAATCATAGACTGAAAGCTTAAGAAAGTTACAGAGGTGCTTTAAGACTGCGGTTCTTATTATAGATGTGTAGATTTGGGTAAGAGAAACTTGAAATACCCGTCCTGCCGGGTATGGATTACGTAACTGTGGTGTGGCCAAGCCCCGGGTGGTCTTCCTGAGGTCCATGGAGAGAACCTCTGGTTGCATTCCATCTCATTTTAACATATACTAGAGAGAAACTCAGTATGTGTGACTTACCTAGGGTTATTAAGCTATAAAATGAAAGAACACTTTTTAACTGTAAGAATATTTCTTACTTTCCCACTTCACCAATAAAATGAAAGATCACTTGAAAGATTAAAAAATATTCAATAATTTTTTAAAAATGTATTTAGTACAGGGTCTCATTACACAGATGGGACTTGTAGCAATCCTTCCTGTTTTGCAACCTCCTAAGTACTTGGATTACAGGTGTGCACTACCACAACCAGTCTCAATCACTGTCTCAGCACACCCCAGGGTCAGGGCCCGCATGGCAGACCAGGGATCAAACTCCCGGCCCCTGCAGGTGCTTTAATCCTCTGAGCTATCTGGCTGGCCCTCAATAATTTTTTAAGAAGCTTTATTTTTATTCTGAGAGCTCATAAAAACAAAAGACTAGAACTGAGAGATTTCTGTATGACCCTAAGAATACTAAATATTTTTCTCAAAAACAGAAATCAAAAAGTAGTGATGATAATATAGTTATTCTTCCTGGGAAAGAGAATGCCAGTAAGGACAGTAGAAGGAGCCACGGTATGAGTAGTGTTTTACAGCAGGTTATGTGAAAGTCTTTTCACACTTACATACAGCTTAAAACAGTTTTATGGTGGGTATTAATACATTTTTTGCATACATGAATCATTAGCCTCAGCTCACTTAATTTTTGCTTTCTTTATTCATACAGAGAACCTCTCATCTGATTCATCTGTCTCCAGCCCAAGTGCCCTGAATTCTCCAGGGCAAGGAGTGGAGGGTTTGAATCGTAGGAGGAAGAAACGCACCAGCATAGAGACCAACATCCGTGCAGCCTTAGAGAAGAGTTTCTTGGAGGTCAGTCATTGAGGTATTTACTTAGGATTGGCTGTGGTACTGGTATTGAGAATGGTGATAAAAGATGAACTTGTTGGTCTCTGCCTTTCTGAACACTTGAACATAATGAAGAAAATACAACAGTAAGTGGCTGACAGAGGAGACAGTTGGAAACCGCTGGAAGATCAGGGTAGACCATGGTTGCATCCACTCAAGCATTTGGTGTGAAAGAAGTGACAGTGTCCATGATGTATGGAAATTAATTGTACAGGCTGGAAAAGGTGAGAGAAAAGCACTTCAAGCAGAAGAATAGGGCCAACCAAATAGCTCAGTGGATTAAAGCACCTGTTTAGGCAGACGCAGCAGCCAGGGCTTTGATCCCTGAGATGAGGTGTGGTGGCACATGCCTATAATCCCAACACTTGGGAGGCTGAAAACAGGAGGATCACTAAGAGTCCAGTCTTTATAGTGAGACCCTGTAGATCCTGTGCTAAATACGAAAGAAAGAAAGAAAGAAAGAAAGAAAGAAAGAAAGAAAGAAAGAAAGAAAGAAAGAAAGCAGAAAAATGCCCTGTCAGAGTCCTCTGAGGGAAACCATAAGCTCTACCAGATGAAACACTAGTAGTCTGTTTGGCCAAATTTTGATGTCTGCTCCAGAATGGTAGCATGGGACCAAAGTACTGGATACCTTGACTATCAAACAGAGGAGTCCCAATTAGTTCAACAGGGTTTTTTTTAAAAAACCAGGGAATGTCATAAAGCTTCCAACAAAAATTTGACTAATTCAGAAGAGGTGTGAGTATGCTGCAAGGATCACTCAATCAGGACTTCCTCAGCAATGCCTCTTGTTGACTGTGTGATGGAGAAGTCACTTGATTTCTTTAAACTGAAGTCCTCATATCTGTGAGATACCCACCTTTCCTGACTTGGGAATATCATGAGGTAGGCTGATATGCATAAAGCAGTGAGAAAACTCCAAAAGTGCTGCTAGTATGTAGGATTACATAGGTATTTTATTAATTTTGTTCAAGATTAACAGATCTGAAAATTTAAATTTTCAGGAATAATATTTTAAGATAATGTGAGTAAATTTAGTAAATGTAACCATGTACATTAGAGTGACTACAGAAGCTGTTTGTTGAAAGTGGCCTAACATCATGGATATA